ATATATATATATGTATGTATGTGTCCCGTCAATGAAGCGGTAAAATAGGCAAACTTCGAAAGTCCTCAGAAACAGCTCCGATTTTAGTCAATTTTCCTTAAATGTTTGTTTTATATATTATTTAAAATCAAGAATTCAAGGCCAGATGTTCTAAACGTCCCTGTTTCTACCGCTCACGTCGCTCAGTTTTCGTCTGGTTAAATAATAGATTGCATAAATAATAATCCCGATTGTCAGTTTACAGTGAATGAATTGATGAAGGTTATGTCTGGTAATTCGCCTGCCCCTCAGACTATTAAACGTCTATTAGAGCATTATTGATATCGTGGATAGTATTACCCACGAAATTTATTCCCCGAATTGACGTACCAACAACAACCAACTTGCCGTGTGACCAGTTTTCTCCACCCTAATGAGCCCCGATTACCTTAATAACCCCTTGCTACAACCGAATGTCTACTTAACTATGTTTCCTTTCTACATTTTTGTTTGTGCAAGTGTTTACCAACTCGATATTGTCCACGGTTTTGACTTTGTATCTATATGTATGTATACTCACCTACATAATCTTCATCTTATTTTGTTTTCAATTTTAGTTATATGTTTTGTCTATAAATTTCTATTGGTTTGTATATATATTTCTGTCTTCTTTGCTATAGTTTGCTGCATATATTTTCTATCGGTAGTATATAGTGTATAGTGTGTAAATAAAACTATTAGAATGCATCAATATTGTACAGAAGTGTTGTGTCAAATTATGAGGCACAATGAACTCTTTTTTGTTTTAAGAAGAAACATCATGATATTTTAAATGAATCTTTTGCGAAGTCTCATTTGGATGCTGAGAATGAAAATATTAAAAAAACTAAGGAGGTTACAAATATAATCTACAAGGACAGGAAGTGTTAATTAATGATCATTATCCTCCTGGTGATCAAATGTTTTCCAAAAACAAATTAATAGATGTAATTCCTCAATCATTAAAGTTATTATTGAGTGAAATTATACAGAAGATTTCAAAGAAACAAAATTTTGATAATGAACTTGATAAAAAACATCAATTGCACATGCAATTATGTCTGCTGTAAGATCACGCTCATTTTTATCGCCTATTCAAGTTGGATTGAGTGTAACATTGCACAGAAAATTTGGTTTCCATAACCTAGAAGGCATTCGTATTGCAACTCCGGCAGTTTCAATACAACCACGCCAATCTTTGCCGCGATTAAAGTCTATACCTTCAGAAGAAGATATTGTTGAGATAGGAGAAATAAAAGATAAAAAGCATACATGAAATCTGGTGGAGAAGGATTAAGAAAACTAATAGCTGGAGTACAAGATAATAATAAACCTTTATTGTAGCATACAGCTAGTGTGTTACATATAAAAAATATTACAAAAATTCTTATTTCTAATATTTGGCTTATTTAGAGGATACTACACAGACTATCAATGTTCTTGTAACAGTAGAACCTTGATTTTTCTTTTGAAACTTTTAATGTCACAAGTTTTTATGTGTTCTTGAAGAGAGTTGTAATCCTTTACTCCATTGTAAAAGATGGAGTTTTGGGCTAATGTTTTATTAAGTCTTTCTAAATGTATGTTATTTTTATTTCTAGTGCCATAAGAGTGAAAGTCTGCATTTATTTTTATTAGATCATTTAGGTAATGCGGCATCGTTCCTTTCNTAATAATAATAATAATAAACCTTTATTGTAGCATACAGCTAGTGTGTTACATATAAAAAATATTACAAAAAATTCTTATTTCTAATATTTGGCTTATTTAGAGGATACTACACAAACTATCAATTTTCTTGTAACAGTAGAACCTTGATTTTTCTTTTGAAACTTTTAATGTCACAAGTTTTTATGTGTTCTTGAAGAGAGTTTTAATCCTTTACTTCATTGTAAAAGATGGAGTTTTGGGCTAATGTTTTATTAAGTCTTTCTAAATGTATGTTATTTTTATTCCTAGTGCCATAAGAGTGAAAGTCTGCATTTATTTTTATTAGATCATTTAGGTAATGCGGCATCGTTCCTTTCATTATTTTATGTATAAAGACAAGAACATTATGTTTGATTAACTTACTTACACTAATCCGGCCTAACCTATTCAACATTTCTTCAATCGGTGTAAATTTATTACAATTTAATATTGCACGCATTGCCCTATTTTGAATTAGCTGCATTCTATTGATGTCTTTAGCATCACACATGTATAAAATTGTAGATACATAATTGAGATGTGGAAGAACTATTGCGTTATAAATAGTCTTTTTTGCATATATCGATAATAAACTACTTACTCTACTAATTATTCCAACTTTCTTAGCCATCTTTTTGCAAATGTAGTTTGTATATTCAGTTCATTTTAAATCACTAGTAATTATTACTCCTAAATATTTAACAATGTTTACTACTTCAATATTGCTATTATCAATTATTATCACATTTATATCCCTTTACCTTATCTCTAGCAATTTTTGTCCCAATATATAATATCAATATTTAACTTAAGTTTATTTACTTTTAACCAATTATTAATTTTCTTTGTTTTATTGTTTAGTGATCTAATTACTTCTGTGATATTATCCCCCTGTACGTAAAAAATTGCATCATCTGCAAATAGATGATATTTAGTTCTATTACTGTTCATGGTTATATCATTAATATATAGTAGGAAAAGCAAAGGCCCCAATATGCTTCCTTGTGGTACCCCTATGTCAGAACTAATTTCTTTGGAACAAATATTATTGCACTTCGTTCTTTGATTTCTATTTGTAACTATGAAACCATGCTAAGCAGGTGTCTCTAATTCTATACCCCTCCAGTTTTTGTAATAGAATTTGTCTATCCACCGTTTCAAAAGCTCCTTTTAGGTCTAAAAAAAGAACAACAACTATTTCATCATTGTTCATAGCCATTTTCCATTGATTTATTATAAATTGTAAAGCAGTCTAACAACTATAACCGTTCCGGAAACCAGAATGATGTGGCATAATTAAATTATTATCGGTCATGTATTTTTCTAATTGTTCATAAACATATTATTATTCTAATATTTTTTCTATAGCCGGTAACATATTAATTGGACGAAGTTCTTCAGCCTTAATTGTATTTTGTACTTTTTTTATATGAACTATTGTTGAAATTTTTAGTTTATCAGGTACAATTCCATTTTCTAAGGAGGAATTATTTATATTTATTAATCTATCTTCTAATACATCATAAAATAGTTTTATGAATGTCATATGTAGCTTATATGGACTCGATTTATTCTTCAGGTTTATCACAATGGTGCTTAATTCTGTTTTATCTAGAAACCTTAAATTTTTAATAGAACATTTAACTTTAATTTGCTGGTCCTGTAGGAATCATGTAAGT